TGCTGTCATGATGTAACATAATAATCAAAAATATTATCTTACATCAAAGGCAGCTGTGGCTTGTATGGGCATTAACATCTTAGAACACACCAGCAGAGGTGGTTTCTAGAATGTCTTGAACACTTCAGTGTACCACCAGAGCTGGCTTGTTTAGTATAGCCATACTGGAAGACTGGGGGTTAGTGTTACTGTCTATGAATACTTCAGAGTAAATAAACACAAGGAGGAACTTTTCAGACTAGAAGACACTGCTGGTCTAATGGCAAATAAATGGATATAAGCCATCCATGAGGATATTAAAAGATGACCCTGGCCAACTGGATTCTAGAAAGTTTTGTCCAACTGCTGCGGGAATCTGTATGCTTTAAAGGTGGAGCTTGATATAGAACATGACACATTTGTTTGCAATAACAAGGGGTTAACCTCGTTCCGGGAGGAGGTCCCTGCTAGCTCTGTACATCTCTCTCTTCTCTCCCCAAGCATTATTTGTTTGCTGACATGTTCAAATTCCAAGTTCAAGGAAGTTCTTCAAAAACAGTCCCAAAAATGGATGGAGATGTGACAAGCTGGGCAGAATATCAATGAGGAGAATGGTAAACCCAAGAAGCCATGAGTCAGCTCCACCATCTGAAACAGTGCACACTCAGTGCTGGAACATAAAGTCTCCCGTAATGCTGCAGGAGGGAATGGTGCTGATTCACAGAGTAACCCTCCTCTCTCCATTTTGCCTTGGTGGTTAAAGAGGTCTTGGTGAGATGCAACCAAAAGTCATTTATTTTATTGTATTGTAGCCTGCAGGAGATGCATTAAAAATATGAATAATTTATTTCAACATTCCACCTGCCTGTCCCACAAAAAACAGTAACAGTTAAGCTAAGCATATGATTTTGGAGTTCTGGCTCCTAATTTTTGGAAACTGTAGCTGACAAAACTCGGCATGTGGTGTTTCAGAAATAAGAGCTCAGTGATCAAAAGGCCTCCTTCCCTTTTTACAATGCAACAATTCTGATTCCCAAATACGTTGACACAGCTCAACAGAGAAGCTCCTCAGCTCACTGTCCTGATGCCTGCTTCTTACCAAGGGAGCCACACGGCTGCCACCATGGTCCTCCATGGCTGGACCACAGAGCCAACACAGGGCTTGGAAATCTCTAGTACAGCTACCAGCAGCCTCACTCTCCTCCAGTACTCTCCAGTGCTATGCAGCCCTGCACCCATTCTCCCATTACAAAATCACACCAGATCACACAAGCTTTTAATGAAAACTAACAGGAAAATGTTGATAACCAGCATATTGATCTTCTCATTGAAACTTTCACAGTATCAAGATAAGAGAAGTACTTTGTGCATAAAAATATAAAACCTGGTTAGATCAGTAAAATCTTATTCCTCCCTTGTAAAAATGTGAGCGAATCAGTTACTTCCAACTACAAAGGGCTGCTGTGAGTATATTAGGATATTTGGACCCTGGCCTCTGAAGAATTTAGAAATTATCAGACCTTTAGTTTAAAGCAAAGAATCTTCCAGTGTTGCTAAGTCATCCCTTGCAATGCAGATCTGAGGATATTCCTGCCTGAGACCAAAAGGGAAAACCAAGAAAAGAGATTATCCTCCATTCAGCTTGCTTTCAAAGAGAAACTCAAACAAATAATGTTAAATAATCTAAAGTCTGAACTTCCAAAGCTTTGAATCTGACCAGTCCTCACCTGGTTCTGTACTGTATTTTCATAAATGGGTTATCATTGTGAGGAAAACCCTAAGACCATAATCAGGTTGCTCTGGGGAAAGGAGAACAGACAGACTTGTTCCTGTGTAATCTAGGTGATCCTGCTCTGGCAGGAGGGGTTGGACCCCTAGAGATCCCTTCCAACCTCTTCCACTCTGTGAATCTGTGAATACCCAGCCCCAGCTTCTGTGTCTTTCTATGCCTGAAGCCACTCTCTGTACACCATAGTAACATATACCTGTGATAAAATTTGTCTCAACTACTGGTTTTGTCCATGCAGAGCAGTCTCCACTCAGAAGAAGGCCTGGGTGTTGCTTCTCTGAGTGTTCTCTATGCTGCGCTCATCTTATCGTCCATGTTCCTCCCTCCAATCCTCATCAAGAAGCTGGGCTGCAAGTGGACCATCGCAGGCTCTATGTGCTGCTACATTGCGTTCTCCTTAGGGAACTTCTACGCTAGCTGGTACAATTTAAATGTTTTAACCCCATTTATTGTTTTTGAACAAAATCAGTGAGGGCAATGTTATTTGTTTGGTTTGGTTGTTTTGGTTTTTTTTTTTCTTGACTTCTAGTCTACCTCTGTGGATTTGAAAGCTGGATACAAAAGGTGTTACCTGCAAGAAACAGGGATAAATAAATCTAGTAGCAGGTGATGCAGAGAGGTGAAAATGTGCAAAAAGCCAGATTGAAAGCATCCACCCTCCCACCTGAAGTTGCTTTTCTAACTCATTTGTGTAGCAGAGATTGCCCTTCAGGGGGAAAAAAAAAAATCCATAATGAGAAGTTTAATTCAAAATCCAAATGATCTGTAGGAGTGTTTTTGAAAAGATTGAAGGGAAGGCTTCTGCCAGCCAGGGGCTCTGGGAGCAGAGGACCACAGGTGGAGACCAGCTCCTCCCTTGTCCTTACAGAGGTTGGTGAATAATTTACCTCTGCTCTTCAGCGACAGAGGATGCAACTCTGTGGGGGAAAGTTGTTGCAATCCATCTTCTGAAGCACAGGTTCAATTTAATTCCCAGTTACAAAAGGATAGGGCACACGAGGACAGACCTAGCCAGCCTAGCCTACACATAGACCCTGCACACAGCAGGGAGTGCTCATACATCTCAGCTTCATAAGACTGACCCCTTCTTGGTTCCATGTAGTAGATTTATTGAATTATACATGGGATAGATCTATTTCTTTGAGGTTTATTTTTGCCTCTGGATCTTTGGGAAAACGATTATTATGCTAATGGATGATTATGCTAAATAAAGTGTTCTTTGGCAGGTACACACTAATCCCTACCTCTGTGATCCTGGGCTTAGGAGGAGCACCACTCTGGTCTGCCAAATGCACTTACCTCACCATTGCTGGCAGTTCATATGCGCAGAAAGCGGGAAAAAATGCAAAGGACATTATCAACCAATACTTCGGGGTCTTCTTTCTGATATTTCAGTCCTCCGGCATCTGGGGAAATCTTATCTCATCCCTGATATTCAGCCAAGGTTCCAAAAAAGGTAAAATATATTTTAAAATCTTGGTGCTTCTTTCTATAAACATTAGCAAGTTCTAGATAGTTAAAAGCTAGTTTTCTGTAGCTGATCTGGTGACCCTCAATTGCCTTCTTAGTAATTGGAAACGGGCACTTCAGATTTGACTTAGTTCTTCTGAAGGTAGATGTTTGAAATAGAGGGGCTAAATTGCTCTCTGGAAGTGTCTATTTTCTATCAACACTTCATTGGCTATAAAGAGAGTTCAGACAACTAGCTCACAACTAGATGTCTACTGAATTCCTTTTGAATTCCACCTCTGTGTTGTAAAGCATAGACAGGCTGTTGTCAGTGACAGTCTTTCACATCTGACTTCTTTTTAAAGTGGGTTAAAACAAAAGGCAAAACACTGAAGCAGCCTTTTCACAAAGCTTGTAGTATTGGATTAATTTGCTGTTAAACATTCAAGGTTAGTCAAGCTGATGCTGGTGCTTGCTGAAAATCAGTGCTTTACAGAATTGTCAAGAAGAAATAGAAATAGCTGTTGGCAGGAGTCGGCATGCCAGGGCTCCTCTGCTGTATTTCAGGCTCAGACAGCAGATGCCAATGTAGCTTGAAGAAATCACTCAACAGCGCTGCCCTCATTTCCCATGCTTGTAATTGGTGCAAGCTTTGAAAGGGCAGTTATGAAGATAAATTAATACTTGGATGCTGCCTTGGATATTCAAAGTGCTACAGTGTATTATCATTGCAGTCTCCCATGCATTCCCTAGACTGTCAAATAGTCAGAACAGGATAAACATGGAAAGAGATTTCCATATACACTGCTGCTATGAATAGCAAGAAGCTACCTCTCTTCCCTGGCTCAGTTAAACAGTATGTCCTCCGGAGGGCAATCAAAAAGGTATAAGGTTAAAACGAAATGTCAGGAAGCCGGCATCAGGTTTTAATCTTTGAATTTTTGAGTTTATGGCAAAGTGTCATGGTTTAACTCCAGCCAGTAATTAAGAACCACACAGCTGCTCATTCACTCCTCCTGGGTGAAATGAGGAAGAGAATTGGAAGAGTAAAATGAGAAAAGTTGTGGGTTGAGATAAAGACAGTTTCATAGGTAAATCAAAAGCCCCACATGCAAGCAGAGCAAAACAAGGAAGTCATTCACCACTTCCCATTGGCAGGCAGGTGTTCAGCCATCTCCAGGAAAGCAGGGTTCCATCACATGTAACGGTTATTTGGGAAGACAAATGCCATCACTCCCTATGTCCCCCCCCAGCTTCTTCCCCCAGCTTTTTGTGCGGAGCTTGATATCAGGCTGTGTCACCTCCCAGCTTCTTGTGCACTGCCAGCCCACTGACTGGTGGGTGGTGAGAAAGGCAGAAATGGCCTTGACTCCCTGTAAGCACTGGTCAGCAGTAACAAAAACATCTCTGTGTTATCAACACTGTTTTCAGCACAAATCCAAAACACAGCCCCACACCAGCTGCTATGAACAAAATCAACTTTGTCCCAGCCAAAATCAGCACACAGAGTAGTTGTCACAAGATGTGATACTTGTGGAGAATCATGCTTCCTTTAAACCCAAGCAACTATAGATGAAACACCATCAAAGCAGAATGCTAAAGGACTGTATCAAATGCAACAGAGCCCTGCTTAACTGATCACTGTGCCACACAATGTCTCGAGAGGGACCGTCCTCGTTTCGTTTGCAGGTTGCAATGCTGTGGTGCTGCTATGAGGTCTATACAGACTGCAACCATTTCATTCTTCTCTGCCTCACAGCACACATTAGGTTAATAAGATTAAAAAACTTTTTTTTTTTTGTCTTCTAAATCCCCTCCTAGTTTTACAACTGAGAATGTTCTTGTAAATTCTAAAGAAACACTTTTACTAGTTTTATCAGTTACACTGGATTTCAGGAAATGCTGTGTTCCTGGAGGTGTGCTGTGAACAGCTCTCAAAGCCAAAGGCCTTGCATATCTTCACAACACTGATGAGCAATCATGCCATAAGCTCCCCAACTGTGCCTTCTCAGTGAGACCCAGTTTTAACCTAGAGGGAGCTCCTTGGGAGGTGAGAGGGTAAGGATCTCCAGTCCCTCACTTCTTTTCCTCTCCTCTGACAGTGCAGCAAGGGTATCCACCCATATTGTTCATATACTTAAAACGTATAATTTCCCTGAGCATTCAGAAAGTTATGGTATGTATCTGCAGCAGGATCAAAATGCATAAAATTCAGACACATATGTATGCTTGACATATTGCCTGCATCACTGCACCAGAGACAACTGGGCAAGCTACACCATGAGATAATACTACAACAGAAGGCAGCAATCAATGTAAATTACAAGTCATCCTTTCTCACTCATCAATATTGCAGCCTTATTTCCAGAGGAAGAGAGCAAACCCTGCCTTGCAGCTTCCATATCACTAACTGCATGTGTATCTTCATTTTTAGTTGATGCACAGATTAAAAACTTGTTTTACATACTGCCACACTTCACTAGTGTGACTGACCTTTAGCATATGGTAATTTTGCTGAGGATCTGTTTGTTCAAGACTGTAGCAGTAGCCACTGGCTGTGATAAGGTAATGATTTTCTTTATGTTAATAAGTTTTATCAGATGTTGAACCTAGGGTTGTTTATGAAGCTAGTTAAACAGTTGGTTCACATTGCAGCAGCTTTAATTGGAAGCAATGAGGAAAAACACACAACAAGTAGTTACACAATAACCCTAATTGAAAAATTAAAGATCAAGTCCTGTTCAAGGAATTAGCCATGGTATTGACAAGGTATTATGCTTGGACCAGAGACAAATTCTGCAGTGAAAGCACTGAAATAATAGTATGCTGTTTTGATCATCCTTTCCCACTGCACAGCTTAATCAGGCTCACACTCTGGGTTGTATTTTTCCTTTACAGAAAAGGTACTGATGGAAGCGGGCACAGTGTCATGTGAGTACATGCACATGTTGCCCAGCACAACACTGATGCGATTGAACAGAGGTCTTACTCCAAACCCTGCCAAACTGTTCTAGTTTCAAGAACAATAAAACCAGGAAAAGTCTTCTTGGAAGACTAAGTTAGTGGGTAATCATAATTTGAATTTATAAAACAAAAATATGTCTCGAGGTAGTTTCCATTCCTATAATATATACAGAAATTATCTGGAGAGGGATAATGTGCTCTGGCTGTAAGAACTGAGGTCTATCAGTACAGAGGTGGTGTAAACTGAAGGAGCTGTCATGGGGGGTATAATGTTTAAGATGTACAGATACCCACTGGAACTTTAAATGCAAATTGAGCTTGGATTCAGATTTCAGCCTCTGGCTTTAGTCCATGTCTCCATGTGTTCAGTGTTCCATTTTGAGCAACTGTTTCTGTTAAACCAAATTTTCATGTGTTAAACTGAGATTCTGAAGTTAAACATCCCTGATCAGTAAGGACTTGAAACCAGAACGAATCACCAAGTGCTGGATTATCTTCTCCTTATATCTTTACACATAGTGTGCACTCAGCTGGTGTCCTCCCTGACCTGCCTTTCATTTTCTTTCTTTTCCACTTAATTAGTGGAAATCTCAGAAGAAAGCCTGGCATGCTGCGGGGCGTATGACTGCATGACTGGTACGACTAACAGCACAGGGTCAGCACAACCCTCCAACTCCTTAATATACACTCTGCTAGGGATCTACACTGGTAAGTAATCCACACAATCTTTAATGAATATCACTGATGGAAAACCTACTCTTTGGGAAACCTAGCATGACTTTGCAGATTAAGTTTCTAACTCCCTCCTGCAATCCAATTTGCTAAAAGGAAGTAAGACATGTGAGAACTGTGAACCAGTCCCTCCTAAATAGTTTCAAATGCTTTGTACCATTTTTGTCTAAAGGAGGAAGACATTCTTTATACTGTTCACCTGGAACAAAGCTGAAGCCCAGTATGGTGGCCCCACTGTTTCACCTAAAGTCAGTGTCGCTCTACAGACAAAAGTATGCCCGCACTGCAATTAGAGGATTACAGCAGTTTATCCAGTCATGCCTGACATGGTTTTAAATTCACTACCTTCAGGATCAGCAATAGTGAACTAGTTACTGATGGCATTGGGCAGATTTATATATGCATGCAGAGGTCCAAGATGCTAAGAGCAGCCCAGCTAGTGGTACCTGAACTCTAGTCATCTGGAGATGCCTATCAGAACTGGCTGGTGTCCTACCACATGTCAAACAGTTTTAGCACAAGAACTGCACTGTAAGTAGAGGTGGACCTGAACCACAGCTCCCGGAATACACAGTCACTTGGGTGGAGGTTTTTGGATCCCTGCTGAGATTTTACAACTTCAGTCAATTCTCAGCTGTGAGGCTTGAATTATAATACCTTAGTGTGAAAGGCAAAGATAAGGAGAAGCACTAGACAAATTGGCACATCTCCCATTTAGTAACTACAGCTGCTATAGACCTTCCTTGCATAAGGCTAGAAAGGAATCAAAGACAGGGAAGGCTGATGCCATCAAAAATTGAAGAGACGAAAATAGATGTGCAAGGATTCATTCAGTGAGGAAAGTTCAAAAAGTATCTGGCTCAAAACAAGTTATTCTCTGGGTGAAGGGGAAGTGTCTGGCAAGACAGTATGTTACCTTAGCTCTGTTAAAATATCTTTCCAGTCTCTGCACATAGATGCACTATCTATGCTGAGACAGATGCACTGAATTTGTCATATGCTCAAACAGAGAGCATGGGATCTGGTCAGAGCCAGCCCTCACCGGACAAGGTCATCGCAGCAAACCCCCCCACCTTCCCCAATCTCCATTCCTAATTGGTGAGAAAATGTGAAGAATATCCCTCCATTTCCCTTCCAGAGTGTGCTGGAGCTGATGCCTTTCTGCTAAAGGCAGGTTTGGCTCACAAATTTAAATTTAAATTTGATGACTAACATATACAGCACTCCCTTAGGCTTTGCTCATGCAAAATGAATGCAACCCTGCTGTCTACTGACCCCGCGTCAGTAGGGTTTCATTTTTCTTCTAAGCTCTTAATAAAAGATACGACTTCTCCTACCTCGAGGGAAACCAAATAGCTAAATATTTAATTCACATTCCTCTATTTGGTTGTTGAGTATATATTTTGCCCAGCTTGGGTGGAGACAATAATGGATAAGTCTTTTGTTGTTTAGTTTTCTCAAGGACTGTGGATGCTTCCATTTATGTTCCTTCCAATGACTATTAAGCCACGCAGTAACTTATCTCCTATAATTGCTCTTGATTCATTTTACATATTTCTTAGAATATTTTTCCTGTAAATATGGATGTCCTGCTTGCACCCATATAAATCCTGCAAACAGCCCACAAGCTCTAATAAACACCCTGGCAGAACAGATAATGACTTACATCACAATGGGTTTATAGCTCAGCCACAGTAGAAAATCAGGAAACTAGAGAATACAATTTCATTCTGGGAGATATGGATGAGAAATAATAAGCAATAAGTAATTGAGGCAATTTACTGTAAAACTGCTAATATATTTGGACATTAAAAGTTCACAGAAAGGAACACATTAAACAGGCATTGTGGATGGGAAGAGATTTCTGGTTTTCCTCTTTCTCTGAACTCCACTTGTTTCCCTGGGTGGAATTCTAGTCAGCATAAGTAAGAGAGGAAACATAATAATGCCTTGCATCTGTAACAAAGCAATCAGTTGTGCATCTTTGGCTGCTTCATGTATATTATGACACACAGTTATCTTCCCGATAACATGAAAAAATTGCATTAATTCACTTCACAACCAACAAACCTAGACCGATATGTACATGATTATTTTCTGATTAACTACCCCATGTACTCTTTCATACGCTGCTTTGGCTAGGAAATGATAGGTTCAGAGCTGTTTCTTCCACCTTTTTCAAGTCATCCAGAGTTGCTTACTATCATTTTTAAAATAGCACATATTCTGTACTCAAAGCATGGCTCTGAGCTGCAAAAAAAACATAAACCAAACCCCCAAAAAAGCAACATATACTGGGATCCGAGACAGCAGTTCTACTTCTAGACCTTTATTATTCTTTCCATGTATTTGAAGGAAGATTTCCCCCCTAGCTATGAAAACCTTGGCACTAAAAGTGAATATTCCTCCCCTGTGTTGAATTAAAGGCTTTTGATAGCTCCCAAGGGAGCTGTTTCTGGCCAGTTCCCTGTCCCCGCCAGCCCTGGCTTAGCCTGGAAGGGTGAGCCATCAGCCTCTGCGGCCGCGCAGCTGGCCCGGTGGCTGTCACGACGGGCTGGTCATGGTTAAACTGAGGGGATTTGGGAGGTGCACAGCTGTATGCAGAAGATGTGAATGGAGATCAGGCCTTCTTGTTTACACAGAAGTGGCCTTTACACTGAAGCAGAATCAGATGCATCTGCCAAAACGTCCCACAGAGAGCTCAGCACTAAGTCAGAACAATAACAGCAGCAAGCGACTTCCCATCATTCTTCCAGCATTCCTCAGTTTTTCATGAACATTTTGTTTTGTTTTTGCAGCTAGTGGTGTGCTAGCTGTGTTGCTGATTGTTATATTTCTGGACCAGATCAAATCTGACCAAGCAGAGACTGAGAAAGAAACACTAAAGACACCAACATTTTGGTCTACGTTCCTAGCAACCTTCCAGCACCTTAAAGATAAAAGGCAGTGTCTTCTAATCCCTCTGACAATGTACAGTGGGTTTGAACAGGGATTTCTTTCTGGTGACTACACAAAGGTGTGGATGACAATGAAAATCTGTTTGTGTCTGATTAGTTTTTGTGCCCTTGTGTCTTACTCTTGCATCTGATCTGTATTTACTTGTTAAATGAAGATGTTTTCAGTGGTGATTTGTGGTTTGCTAAATTACTGCTTACTTCTACTTGAATGAACTCTGCATGACATCTTCAAACAGGAGAGGCCAGCACTAAATATGTCCCTTGGATCAACCTTAAAAAGAACGCTGTAGAGAGCTTAACTCACCAGTGGAGGCCACAGCAGAGAGCTACAGGTTCAAACCCTGCAACTTGTTGTAAATAACAAACTGGGAGAAAAGCCAGAAGTCTGCAAGGCTTTTATATCTTCCTTCCTTCTGGTTTCCCTAGAGTTTGTGTAAGTGCAAGTCAGCACACATACCATGTCTTTTATTTTGAGAACCTTTACAGTAAGAGGGCAAACCCTCGACTTGGAAACCCTCACCAGTCACTGGTGCAACAGGTCCAAACCCTGACAGACTGAACTGATCAAAACCACCTCTGCTCCTCCAGTTTCTCTACAAACCTAGACACAACAGGTGCATTCTCCAGATATTTGTTGAGAAAGCCTCCAAAGAAAGGGGGCAAACTTGCTGCTTATTTGACATGTAAGCTTCCATACAAGCAGACAGAAGAGGGCGTTTGCTGCTCTGCTGGTATGGGCTGAAAGGGGCACACCCTGGCCACCTCCATTGGCTGTATGCTCTTCTAGGTGAGGTCCTCTTCATCTCTTGGGAGCTGCTCTGTAATGACCATAGTGCTGACTGTAAATTTTCATCTCTTGGGCTCTGAAGGGAAGGGCAGAAAATTCATAGTGCCACTTCCAGGACTTTTATTTGCATGGCAAGCAGTGCTCCAGTTTCTTCTCCTGCTTGTTACTGGTCTGTTTGCATGGCATCACTCTGATTGGGAAGTGGGTTAGGAATATTGCTGCTGAAGGCCAACTATGTCAATATGCCAGAGACTTGGCAGCAAACTCTGTAGCTGCACTCCTTTGATCTCAACCACGCCGGTATTTGCCAAATACTCGGGCTAAGACCCTTGAACCTTAGCTGCATATTTTCACTGAAGAAAACATGTCACCACTGTCTCTTCTCTTCCAGACGTATGTGAGCTGTGCCCTGGGGATACATTATGTTGGTTACGTGATGATCTGCTTTTCAGCTGTAAATTCCCTCTGCTCTCTGCTCTTCGGAAAGATCTCTCAGTTCACGGGTAGAAAATTTCTATTTGCATTAGGTATGTAAAGGTCACTCATGTAATATATCAAAGCCAGTGTTCCTCCCTTTGCATGCACTACAAAGGGAGATCTTGCCATCAGCTATCAATTAAAACCAAAGGCAATGTGGAGGCAAACTTCATTTATGAGAAGAGAGGCAGCACAGTTAACCACTGTATTGAGGTCATTGTCTTACATCGCTTCACTAGTGGTGTAGCTCACCCTGCTTTTGAGGGTGCTACCTACTCAGAAAGTGCCAGTGGTGGAGTTTTGGGTTTTTTTCATCATGGGGAGGTTTACATGGCACCAGGCCAGCTGGCAACAGAAGGTGTTCAGCTGTCTGAAATGGGAAAAAGGTTTCTCGCCCATGAATTGGTGGGAGTCATCGAGAGAGCTTTAAACTAGGTTTGAAGGGGGAAGGGGGCAAAACCACTTGTGCCACCAACAGGTGCCCAGAGCCTGGAGAAGAATCACAAGTCACAAGGAGAACACCTGGCAGGCAAAACAAGGGAATTCTAGATGCTCCAGTCTGCAAGCCAACTTCATTGGGTGCCCATCTTAAATACCTCTATGTGAACACATGGAGCATGGGAAATAAACAAGAGGAGCTTGAGGTGTGTGCATGCATGAGGGGCTATGACCTCACTGGCATCGTGGAGATGTGGTGGGATGGCTCTTGTGCCTGGAGTGTCAGAATGGAAAGATACAGGCTCTTTAGGAAGGACAGGCAAGGAAGACATGGAGGGGGTGTTGCTCTCTATGTCAGAGACCAGCTGGAGTGCATGAAACTCTACCTGGGGATGGATGAGGAGCTGACCAAGATCTTATGAGTCAGGATTAAAGGGAGGGCAGGAAGAGGGAATACAGTAGTGGGAGTTTGCTACAGGCCACCTGGCCAGGACGAGCGAGTGGATGAGGCCTTCTACAAGCAGATACCAGAAGCCTCACATTCACATATATCCTGGTTCTCATGGGGAACTTCAACCACCCCAATATCTGTTGGACGGACAACATGGCAGGGCACAAGTAAGCCAGGAGGTTCCTGGAATGGGTCAATAACAACTTCCTTATCCAAGTGATAGAGGAGCTGATGAGGAGGGGTGCCAATCTGGACCTTGTTCTCACCAACAGGGAGGGGCTGGTGGGGGATGTGAAGCTCAAGGACAGCCTTGGCTGCAGCAACCATGAAATGGTGGAGTTTGAGATCCTTATGGAGGCGAGGAGGGTGAATAGCAAGCTCCCTACCCTGGACCTCAGGAGAGCAGACTTGGGCTTCTTCAGTGAAATGATTGGCAGAGTTCCATGGTGTGAAGCCTTGGAGGAACTGGCTTGACAGTTGCTCTCAGAGAGTTGTGCTCAATGGCTCAATGTCTGAGTGGAGACCAGTGATGAGCGGCCTTCCTGAGGGGTTGGTGTTGGGACCGGCA